ATAAATGATATACTGACTAAATATAATATATAATATACTGACTAAATATGATAAATGATATACTGACTAAATATAATATATAATATACTGACTAAATATGATAAATGATATACTGACTAAATGTAATATATAATATGCTGACTATATATGATATACTGACTGTATATGATATATAATAGACTGACTAAATATGATATATAATATACTGACTATATATGATATACTGACTAAATGTAAACCAACTTGTGTTTTTAGTTTCCTTCTTCTGTTCTTTAGCTGTCAAAGGGTTAAGACATTATTTCTGGTTATCTACAACGTCTACTGCATCAGGGCTGATTTTTCTACTCTTGGGAATGTTCGTCGAAACGTTTCTCTTGGCCATTTTTTTTCCTGGTTTTTGTGCTACCAAACTGATGTCTTTCTCAGCATTTCTCCAACTCCTCTGTTTGAGCTGCACAGCTAGCTCTCTGATTTCTATGTTGGTTTTGAAACTTTTCCAGTTAATTCTCAAGATCTCGTATAAGTACGTATTTTCAAGATAATTCAACTTATTCTTTATTTCTTTCCTGTTATCCGGTTTTCAATTATTTTGAAGTTAAGCTACACAATGGGCTATCTGTGATTTGCCCACCCGGTTTATAGCGCTGTAAGTCCGCAGACATACCGCTGTGCCACTGGGGGCCTGGTTTTCAGATCCGTGTGTTAGGATCAATATGACATTGGAGTTGTTTTATGGACAGTCTTAATGATTTAGATTTCCAAATGTCCTATGTGGTTCAATGCTTGTATTTCGTATTTATGCTAAAGCTATCAGCCGCCGTCAGCAACACCCTATTAATCACGCTAAGGTATTGACTATCACTTTTATAACACACCCACAGCTTAAATTGCGGAGGGTATCTTGTGGCATCGCACGGATTCATACCCAACGTAGATCATTACACCTTTCTTTAGGCACGTTGTTTTCTAGGTAAATATATTTAGTGAGATCCTCCTGGACTGGCTTGTCATCTACAGTAATTCTGGAAATATCTTCAATCTACAGTGATTCTGGAAATATCTTCACCCCCTGTTTTCACAATAATCACGAGACCTGCCTTTGTTGGATAAAAGGTTTGTTTTTGTCCACCATGTTTGGAAGAAGACTGATTTCATTAGTGAAATCCATGTCTTCAGGATTCGCGTTGTTGGCCCATGGTATGTCACACTGTGGTTTTATCTATGTTTGTGTGTTGTAACTGAACCGCCTGTGTGGACTTTGATGTAAAAGATAATTATTTAAAGCTCTGGATACAACTGTTGTGACCCATGGGTAATGTAAGTGAATTGATCACTGATTGTATTGTAATAATGGAGGAGAGATAAAATATGTCGTCTTGTTAATTGGGTTCTAAAGTAACTGAACCAGACTGTGTGGACTTTTGACGAAAAATAGAATTATTTAAAGCTCTAGATTCAAGTGTGGTAAACAGGAGTGTATCGAATTCTTGTACACACGTTTGGCTTGTTTTGAATATGTATTATTTTAAAACAAGTGGATTGTGCACTGTTAGTTTATTGTTGACATTTATCGTCAACAAGTCACAGACGCCTGCTGTAAAGAATACCAACAACTCCTATAAAAACTGACAGTCGTTTAGAATGTGTTTAAAGGTTGGCACATGAAGTTACCGTAAAACCATATGGTAAATTTGTTTGTAAAGAAAAAAAATATACTGAACTTTTTGATCTTCAGACACGTGTATTAGATCAAAGTTAAGTCTATGTAACTTAGAATAATTGTAAACTGCAACGGTTGCCATCTAGAGGCAAAAATTAGCATTTTATTAACTAACAAATATGTATGTATGACGGACTAGCATTATACTAAATTTAAGCTTCTGTTCCTCAAATTCTATCTACAAAAATAAAAACTTATTATCAGTAAATGATGTTATGAATAAAATTCTTTATTTTTTGTAATTTCTTTGTTTTTTATCTACTACCTTACGAGCTCAAAACTGTTATTTCATTTGTCTTGATTTTAGGACCTCGAGGAAAAAGAGGACGACCAGGGTTAAAGGTATAGTTTTATCTTTTGTTGTCATTTTTATTATTTGTTTATTTTAAAATTGAACGACAGTTGAGAGATGTTTCCATCAGAGTCAGAATTAGTAGTTGGGGTTAATATATGTTCACGATCAAGTGCTCTTAAGTTACATATATTAGTAAGGTTAATGGGGGGAAGATTATGTTCACGATCAAGTGCTCTTGCGTTACATATATTAGTAAGGTTAATGGGGGGAAGGGGAAGATTATGTTCACGATCAAGTGAT